CACATGGTAGGATTTGTAAAGAATTTATTCGTAAATTAGGGTGGAAAATAAGAAAGTTGTGTTTTCAAAGTTGTAGTTCAAGTTATTTTTTACTTCCAATAGTGTTAACATACTACACAGGTCATGAACAAGATTTGTTTTTTTAATTTTCATTGTAAGTGGGTTAATTAAATTAGCCCTTAATTAAAAGTAGTCTAACATAAATGTAAATGCTGTTTATATTTTAATAAACCATGTAACTTGGATGGATCCGATGCCGGCGTGACCACAGTGCACATGTTCAATGTTGCTTACAGTGGTCCAAGGGATCGCTCAGGGACTTTGTGTGTTTGTTTAGACATATGAAAAATTAGAGGGAACATTGGTTATAACTCAGTAGAAAGTAATTCAAGCCACAGTAAAACTGGAGTTTGCAAATAAACATATTTAAGGTAACTTACTTTCAGGCATTGACTTAACACTTGGAGTATCACTGTGAAGGATTGCAAACAGGAACACAGCTTACATCATGAGGCAATAACCAAAAAGTGACCCAGAAGTACCCTCTCTCCCTCTGGAGCAGCAGCACAGCACATCAAACTTATGCTTACGTCATTTCCCATAACCTCACTCAGAACAATATTTCAGGAACATAAAATCTCAGAGCCTTTTATACAGTGTTAGCCCTGTGATAGACACCTGACCTCTCCAGGGTCTGTATTTATTTACAAAAGGCTAACACATAGAGACAGACAACCATTCACACTCACACAGCTGGGATAGGCTCCAGCCCCCCCTCGACCCTGGGAAGGATAAGCAGTAGAGAATGGATTGATAGTTTTCTTGTGTTTGTGACTGTAAATAAAATAATTTACTTTCTTTATGAATTACTCTGTACAGTCTGTATCATTAAAAAGACACCAAACAGATTGAGTAAGGGGACACAATGGTTGGAAACATGTTGCTCACAGTGTGAAACGTCAATAGTTTTTTTCACTTTAACCAACAAAGTGCAGAAACATCAACATCTGTCTGTCTGTGTTTCTTTCTGACAGATGATCAAATCTGAGATAGAGAAGACTGAATTCATTCAGAAGCTGATGCAGACACTTCTTGCAGTGGACTCAAAGCTCAGCATCTCTCAGCACACAGAGGTAAACATGGACATATGTGATGCTGTCATCCTCCCAATGATCACAGACCTGTGCACTTATATTCCTGCAGTTTTGTCCAGCAGCAGTTT